TTTCACAAAAAAACTTAAGTCGGTTTCCCTGACTTAGGGCTTGGTTACCAACGTAATTAAGTCGTTACGTCACTAAGTCCCGTTTCACAAAGAATCTAAAAGGTCGCTTACGTCGTTTTTTTCTTAGCTGTAAGTCGACGATGTCAAGCCTCCTCGGGAGGAGACTTAAGTCGGCAAGCTCAACTAAAACTCGGTAAATGAGAGCATAAACAACAAAAATTTGGAAAGAACATACCTCCTTCAAGATATTGTGTTATAATATCCTTGAATAGCACTGACATTTATGGAATATTAAAATAAAAAATAAAATTCCACTTTACCCAGCAGATCGCGTGTTTGTTTATGTTTTTGACCGCTAGACGTCTCTCAGTAGTGTTCCACGACAAGCTAATGTTTAACTGTTACTTTGAAGTTGTATCAAAGTTAAACTAATCAGTAAAGTTCAAAAACAAACTTTGTTTCTGTTTTGGCTGATTTTTACTGTTGATAAACGTTCGTTCTCGGCCGAAAGAGGCCATGAAACGTCATGTCTTGTGAAACTTTTGATATTTTACACCTCCTTTTCTTGAAGAGTTTCTTGTGCGCCTCGACTATGGTAAGCACGCCAAGCTAAGATGTTAGATTCTTTGTGAAACACTCCTAGTCGACTGCAGCTAAGTCGACCTAGCTAGGCCACCCAGCTCAAGCTAGTCGACTACGGATTTAAGATTCTTTGTGAAACAGGGGCCAGGTCCATTGAGCATTTATTTTTCACACTCATATAATGCCAGAATGAGAAAAATAAAAATTTCACAAAAAATTGCATAAATTCAATAAAAATTCAATAATCCTATATGTCAATCCTAAGAATCATTCTTGTAAGTTAAAAAAAAAAAGTTTTCTTTGGTGAACGAAGTAGATTTTTTTGTCAATTTTTATTCAATATTACATAAGGATTAACTGTATAATTACCACCAATTTTTAATTATATACTATTAACAACAAGGACATGTAGAAAATTTGATTACCACTGGGCTTAATACATGCCCGTGGGTGTTCAAAACCCACATTCAAAATGCCAATATGTGAAAGATAAAAAATTCACAAAATGTAAAACAAAGCCAAAAAGACTGCTTTTCCAACTCGGGCAGCATTTTAGTCTTATGCTTCTTTCCTGTAAGTTCAAGAAGTGTAAGTGACAGGGTTTTCCCTAAATGGTCACAAAGGAGGCAGTGCCCAAAACAGGGTTTTCTTCAATTTTGTTGTAATATTACATAATGCTTAACAGCATAATCACCACTAATCCTTAACAATAAAATAGAAGTGTCATGGACATTCAGAAAATGTGACTTGCAAAGTTCTTCAAGCCCATGGAAGTTTAAAGTCACACCTTAAAAATGCCAAAATATAAACAAGAGATAACTGTACAGAAATGAATTTCCATTTTCAACACCTGTTTTACATAAAACAAAATTATCAATTTATTGTCGTTTTTATATAATCAACTAAGAAAATTGCTGAAATAGGTAAAATATCAATACAACAATTTTAAATGTCCAGTTTGCTCCATTGTGAGATTCTGAACATAGTGATTGAATCTGACAAACTGTAAAGATGAGAATTTATATCCATTTTTGACACTTCATTACACAATAACAGGTTTACCATCATTATAATTTATAACATTTTCTAACAATGTTGCTAAGATGCAGAAAATGTCAAAAGAACACTTTAAGGTATCTAATTAGTTCAATAATGAGACTGTTAACATGCCTAAGAATTGACTCTGAGGAAAAAAAAAAACACTCATATACATAAAAAGGCATAACTTCATCAAAATTGAACCGATCAAGCTGGTTTTCAAACTCAATCTGTATTTTAGTTATATTAATTATTTCTGTGCAAGAGGCCTATGGGTTTTCCTTGAAATGTGTTATCAGTGTTGCATATATCCTGAAAAAAGGAAAAAAAGCTGCATAACTTTTCTAAAAATTGTCCGATCAAGCTGATTTCGAACTTGACCTGTATTTTATTAATATTCATCAGTTCCATAAGTTTGAAGACAAAAGATAATACATGTTTCCACTTATTGAGTTATCGGTGAAAGTGCACGCTGACAATGACGATGGTGATGACAGACGCAGGTGATGGCTATATGTACAGACACATCTGTACATAATACAATGTATAATTAAATGCAATATATATTTTAAATGAACTTGTAAAATTAAGAATTAGTAAAAGTCCACAATAATGAAAATCAATTTTTTTTTAAATCACTGTTCTGTTCCTACTCACTGTTCTCAGAATCACTGGTATTAAATAAAATGATTCCCATGTAATATACAGTGTCTGCCTCAGTGGTTTCATTTTCTGGGACAAACAAAACATAGCCACTGGCACTTTGGTTGCCATGACGATAACGCATCTCCTCGGGAACAGGGATAACTGTAGTGCTGTTTGAGATCTGGGAAATTAATCAATTAGGAAAAAATTAAATGAGTCCTCACATAATTTAATTGTAACTGAACAGTAATTAATTACTCACTGATTTATTACATTTTTGTGCTATGCTTTTGAGGTGATTAAAGGGATAACAACTCTTCATGTGAGCTCTATATTTCACAATAAATACATTGTAAATAACTCAGAAATCTAATTTATTCTATTTTACCACAAAAACGGCAGTTATAGTAATTATTCTGAAATTTGTGCTTGTCATTGGATCACGTGACCTCCATAGATAGCTATACTCTGTAATAAACTGTTAAGAGATTATATTACAAAAAAAGAAGAAAAAAAAAATCCTTTTAGAAAAAAACAGGGACTAACTTTGAATGTAGAAATGGATTCATTAACCATTGGAAAGTATGGAAAAATTGTCATTTACCCCAGGAATATTCATTTTTTTACCAAAATTAACAGTTGTTATCCTTTTAAATTTCTGCATACTTAAAAAAAATACTTAGCTACTAGCTATTTAATACTAATGTTTCAACAATAATTGACCACATAACTTACTTCAAAAAGAACTTTTCTGTGAAAAAATATTAAAAATTTATCAGAACTATATTTTGTCACACAGAAAAGCACCTATTTAGCAGCATACCTCTTCTTTGCTGGGCCTGGCATTGGCTTTTAGGTAAACTTGCAGGGTGGCATTATTGTCTGCTGGCCAGATGGTGATCTGATGTGATTTGTTGGTCTCAGCATCAAACTTGAAGTAAATGACGTCCACCATGGTCCCGTTAGTTCCTTCTTCAAGTTGGAGCATGGTGATACCACAGTTCATGTCAGCCTCTAGTATAAAGGATTAAGATTTTTTACAATCTTTTTCATGGATTTATTTAAATCTCATGTAATCTTGTTGCCAACTGAAGCAGTAAGCCAGGGGCCGGTTTCACAAAGCAGTAGTTATTTAGAACAATTAACTACTGAACTACCTCGCTAACGAGCAAACTTAGCAATTTTCGAGGGGTGTTTCACGAAGCAGTAGTTAACTTATCGCTAAGTTCAGTCGTAAAGTTCGGTCGTTAGTTCTCTCGTTACTCACCGTAGTCTTGAAACCGTCTGCCGGAAGTGGAACTCTTGTGTAAAAGTGTCACGAAAGCACTAACTCTCCAATTTTTGGTGGCTGGAAATGCATAAGAACGTCTGCTTTGAGGTCGTCGTAAAGGATCTCCACCACCTTTTTGCCGCTCTTTTTGTCACAGCTAGGCGCAACCTCTCGTAAATTGCATCATCGTGTGTATATTCTAATAGATTCTGCCTTTTATGAAAATGTCGTAGTCTACGTTGCCGTCTGGCGGTATGGATAGCAAGAAAGGTAGCCGCCATATTGGATACAAAGACAAACGACAGACAACGGTAACTAAGCAACCTTTTTATTTCACTCATTACGCATGCATACGATGAAACTCTAGAGTTAGCGACTGGTCTGACCAGTCGTTAAATATCCAAGGCAACAACGAGACAATAATGAGTGAGAGAACTAGCGATTGCTTCATGAAACGGCACTCATAACTAGCGAGAGGCTAACTACCGATCGCTAACTAACTACTGCTTTGTGAAACCGGCTCCAGCTTGCTAGCAGTATCTCTATAATTATGTTTTAAACTTGTTAATTCAAAATCCATTACATAGCTGCATGTCAGATTTCTTAACATACATGTAATATGGAAAATGCTTGAATATAAAGTGTTTTGAAAGAATATGAAAGTAAAGCAGAAATTTGAAGACAAAGTATCAAAAGTATAATCAAAATAATTCCCTTTTATGGAATATGTTGTAGCAACAAGTCACTAGTCTATGTGACTTCTTTTATTTCCTTACCTCCAACAGGGATGTAAATATCTACTGGTTCTGGCAGCCATTCGAGCTGGGACCTAGCGCCATCTACAGTCATTTCAAGACCAAAGCAGCCGGAGGTGACATCTTGAGCTGAAACATCCCAGGTGAATGGATTCTCTGGCATGTAGAACATCTGATAAATAAATAAATAAATAAATAAACACTCATTTTACTCTTAGATACTAAAATATGCGTATGTTCAAGAAATCATATATAAGGACAGCTCTCTTAAAGCATTTACAATGTTAAATAAATGAAAAAATAAAATAACATCAAAGTGTCTGTCTTTGATTACAATCCCCCCCCCCCCCCACACACACACACACACACTATGTGATATATTAGTTAAAGCAGTTACAGTCTGTGCCATAAATTTTTTCTGCTTACTGGCCATTTGGACAACCACTTCCCTTAAATGTACTGGTCCAAAGTGATGCGTGGGTCTGAATATACATCAAAAAGACTCAACATTTTCTCTCTCTTACAGTGATAATATAGATAATTAACCTTGTTTTTTTAATAAGAACATTCATGTAACAGTTACTTTTTTGAAAATAAAAAAACCTTAAATCAAATCAGAAGCTCTTTTGAAAAAATTTCATGCCAATGTTAGACCAATAAATCCACACTTTCTGAAAAATCTACTGGTCTAATCAAGGTATTACCTACTGAAGGCTTAGGACAAATGGATGACCTTGCAGATTGTGCAAGCATGTGAGCAATGAGCAGTTAAATAAACAAATAAGTGAATAAAATCAAATAAAAAACAGCTATAGTACCTGCAAATTTACTGCAGAGGATATATTTTTATTTCCATAACGGTGCATATCCTGAACAGAATGTAAGACAAAGCTGCCGACCATACATGGTGGTGTCTCATCATTCCCCCTTTCTGCTGAGCTGACCTGGGGCACCTGCAGCTGCTGGGAACTACTCATTGTGTCCAGGTCTAATTTTTGACACTAAAACACAATTACTCGTGGCATAAAGTATATGATGCCAAGGTTGACTTTAAAAATGAGTGAACCACAGAAAGGTGCAAAACTGATTCAAGTTGAAATAAAAATAGATAGGACAATATTTTTGGGGCTCTCTATCAAATGATAAGAGAGCTGCACAAAATGGTTTAATTTCTTTTCAACAAACATTTTTGCTACCATATTACTTACAAATTGGTGATTTTTTTAGGTAATAGTCAATATGATTAACATTAGATTAAATAATAAAGTGAACGTTTGTGTTTAACCATGTCATTTCTAAACTTCAAGATGCTGAACACTTCTTAGATTTTAATAAGTATGGGTTTAATTAACATTCTACTGCGGTCTTTTTTATGAAACTGGGGCATCAATACTGAAAGATACATATTCTGTAACCATTTGAACCAATTCAAGGGCAAACCTGACAGTTAGCCTTATCACAATAGTTAAGACATACCACATGTTAAATCTTAAGCATGTGGGTTCATTCTTGTTCTTGGCAAAGCTTACTTACCTTGACACTGAAAGTCTTGGTGGCTATAACAGTGGGCTCCTCTCCTGGCACCTGTTTTGCCAGCACAGTGTCTGAGATAGTGCTGATGACACTAAGTGCTTTATTTGCTATGTATCTGGTCTGCAAGAGGAAAATGCACATTTAACATCTTGTTTGGAGAGGTTCATAATTAGGGATTAGACTATTTGGTGCAGGAACTTTTTTCTTTGCTTTTGATTAAAGGGTTGGTTTGTTAGTTGTTGGTTGTTTGCATGTTTCATAGAGGAAATTGTTTTGTTTAGTCTGAGCAAAGAGCGTGCCAATTTTTCTTTTTTCTCTTCCTCTTTTGTGTTTGGTACAATGTAAGTGATTTATTTGATTGATGTTGCTGATTGTTTGGTTGATGTTGCTGACTGTTTGGTTGTTCGATTGATGTTTCTAGTTGTTTGGTTGATCTTGCTGGTTGTTTGATTGATCTGGCTGGTTGTTTTGTTGCAGCTTTCTTGCCTGTTAAATTGCAGGCCCATAGCCAAGGAGGTAAGTGGAGTTCAAATATTTGCCCTTTTTGTCGGAAAAAAGGTCTGCGAAGGTAAGAATTATTAATCTTTATGTAGGTACTCATGGTAAAAGATCCACTTTTTCAGAAAAAGACCCCTCTCCCTTTAAAATCCCTAACTACAAGCTTGTCTGGATGAGAATTAATCAGTCAGGTCACTAAGACTGGGTTCCCATACCTAGATTGATCTAACAGGTTCGATCCATCTCCAAGGGGTTTCATATTAAATTGTTTTTAGCTTAAGCTGCATAGATGTCTGGCACACCTACTAAAACTGCTAAACGAGAATTAATTACCCCCTAGTAGCTTCAGTAGGCATGACAGACATCTAAGCTGCTAAAGTTGATTACAATTTTGTGAGAATCCCCTCTGAGATAGATTGAACACAGTCAGTATGATAGTATCTGGGAATGGTCCCTTACGCTAAGATTAAAAAGAAAAAAAAAGCTGTCTTGCTTCTGATCTGTCTTCTCACCTTTTGCACTTTGACCTCCTCAAGTTGTGTCATGTTGGTGATATTCACTTCTCTCGACTCCTCCATGGTTGCATTCAACAGGTTAGAGGTGGATTGTAGAATCATACTGAATAATAAGAAACAATATTTGAAGTTTAACGATGAACAGCTTATAAAGATATTTATCGCAGGGTTGTTTATATTCTTGACTGCTAGATGTCCTACAGCAGCGTTCCAAGACAAGCTAATGTTTTACTGTTACTTTGAAGTTGTTTTGAAGTTAAACTGATCAATACAGCTCAAAAACAAACTTTGTTTTATGTTTTGACTGATTTTTATTGTTGATACACAACCGTTCTCGCCAAAACTTTATGATTTTTACACCTCTTTTTCTGAGAGATTTTCTCGTGCACATTGACTATGGTAAGAACAGTGAGCTAGGACTTAGGATTTTTGTGAAACAATCTTAATCGACTGCAGCGTAGTTGACCTTGTTATGTCACTCAGCTCAAGCTAGTCAACTATGGATTTAAGATTCTTTGTGAACTGGGGGCTAGGAAGACTGCAAGGTGTCTCTTCAATTCTTAGTATGTTACAAAGTACTTTTAAAGAGTTTCTTTCCTGGCTTACGTTGCAGTGTCCTCTACTTCAGTAAAAGTGGCATTTGTCTGTCCACTGCTCAACACCTGGGATACCCTCTCCACTGTGTCCATGCCTGAAGTCTGAAGAATAATCTAATCAATATGGAAGTAGTCCAAGACTGCTCCAGGAAATTGTCAATTGTCACAAAAGAAACAAGACATGTTTTTAACCTTTGGGGCATGATGTTCCCACTGTTCATCAATAGGTTAAAGCAATAATAACTCTTCCTTTGAGATTCAAAAATCCGCATGAAATACATTGTAAACAATGCATGGAAATATATTCTATTGTATTTTACCACTAAAACGGCCGTTATTGTAGGAAAACTAAAATCTGTGCTTGTCAATAGGGCTTTCGATCCCTTTTTTCCGGTCGACAAGTGCATTCGTTGCTAATGACGTAATGGTGTCACGCAGATTCTCGCGTTCATTCGAGACCAAAATAACATGTCGGGAAACCCTCAGATGTAAGTTGCGAGTTTTTGTACAGTGCGTCAGATAACGAAAAGCCCAGAATGGCACACATTGTAGATATAAATGCATTTTTAACAAAAAGACAAATATATCTCATGAATCTTATATAGTGTTGTTGTTGTCTGCTTTTCCCGCGGTTTTAAGGGGTCTAGGATATTAAAAANGGAGGTGCAATTATTTTGCTTAAATAGCCCAATTACCTGAGCAAAATGGTTTAGGAGCGATTTCTCAGCTTTGAAGATTGATAACATAGTCTAAACTTCAATCCCCATATCTCATTCTGTAACTGTCAGATTGACATGAAATTTGATGTGTCTCTGTTTCAGTATAATATCTAGTCGTCTGAGTCTTGGTTTTTGGATTGACCTTTTATTTTTGAAGTTATTAATACTGAAATTGGAAGGTCCATATATATTTCGTAAAATTCACGTTTTATCAAAATAAAATCAAAAGTAAAAATAAAAAGAGAAAATCCTGACAGAGTTTAATGGAGTTTGTGCTAACCTTTAGATAGCTATTTCAATCGTATTAATAGGGCTTTTTGTTTAAGAGAAATTCTTGATTAAAAAAAAGACAATTTTAGCCTCAAAACGCTGATATTACGTCACTCGTGTTACACTGTGACTACAAACTTTGAAAAATCGTTTGGCTTGCTAGACCTTTTCTTTAAGTTAATAGGAAATTTCATTAGCTGCATTAGTTTGGGACTTTTTCGTTAATATCCAAGATCCCTTAAGTAGGTCACCAGTGACTTTGCAATGTCAGAGAGAGCTCCGTCAGTTAAAATCTCTTAAGAGATTTTAACAAAAAAACGTACGTTTAGGAAAAAAACCCTGGATTAACTTTGAATGCAGGAATGGGGTCGTTGGCCATTGGTAAGTACGGGAAAATTGCCGTTTTTTCCAGGAAAATCCAATTTTTGGCCAAAACGAAGAGTTATTATGACTTTAAAAACATGCTTCATCTTAAAAAAAAAACAACTTTTTTACAATACAGATACAAGAAGCTATAAAAAATCTATTTCAACAGTTCAACTGTTTTGCATATTAAAGTACAACGGACAGAAACAGGAAAAGCTGGAAAACATACAGAAACAAGAAAGAACTTCATTATGACAAGTACATAACACATTCCAGATAACGGTATGAAATTATTCCACTTGCAGTGTCTGCATATAGACTCGCCCTTCAAGAAATCGACGCCTTCAAGAAATCGACGAAAACCGGAAGTGCGTGTTTTTTGCACTGTTTTTCCTGTCATGCCCATCGTAAACACTGTGTTGTCAATTAAATCAAGCGTCTGATACAAAGTATCAAACGCGGCATTCATGTGCTTGCTTGCAATGCGTTCAGTACACTTTGTTTACACTGACAAGTCGAGGTCAGAAATGCACAATGTTTTTCTATGTAATTACGTAGTTTCAGTTTTGATTAGTGAATTTTCTTTTATCAGCATGGTCATTTTCCGAACATTTGTATAGATCTAGATCTAAGCCATGAAATATTTCTCATCGGAAAATCACCCAGCAGCTTTCCAAGTACAAGCGAGTGACGTCATGACGCACTTCCGGTTTTCGTCGAGATCTTGAAGGGATAAGTGTTACGGTTTGCTCCACATTTAAAGCGTTCTGTCTCAAAATGTACTTAACTGCTTGGATTGAAATTTACGGAACTTATTCTTCACATGATATCACACCTATGTGCCTAATTTGAGAGCTTTAGCTGTTATATGTTTTCTACAGTGCCCATTCAAATTTGAAAAAGAGCTATTTTCCGTCGATTTCTTGAAGGGCAAGTCTAAAACCAAAAAACCCATAGCCAAAAAAAAAAAAAAAAAAAAAAAAAAAAAAAAAATTTGCAGCAACTAGTTTGCAGGAGTTTGCAAGGAAAAATTTTATTGCTGCTGATTTGCAACAAATTTGCAATAACAACTTAAGTTTACAGCAGGTTTGCAAGAACATATGAAGTTTGCAGTAAGGTTGCAAGAAAGTACTCAAGTTCTTGCAAATTCACAGCAAATTAGAAGCAAACTTGCAGCTAATTTGCACTGAATTTTAGAGAGGGTTTGCAGCAGGTCTGATATTTTGCTATTAGGGAATTCATTCATAAGAACCAGTTTGTACAATTTTTAATCTGATATAACAAGTTTTGAGGATTAAACATAAAAAACTGAAGCCTAAAGAATATAAATACTAGATTAGAGGCAACTATCTACAATGCAAAAAGACATCCAGTGTTCAGTACCTGTGAGTGAGCAGTAATCTCTGTGGTGTGTTCTGTGAGTTTGGCCAGCGTCTCTGCTGCTTGATGGGCAGTAGATAGGCTGTCAATAGTTAAATTACCCACTGCCTCCATCATATCACTGCGTATCTGTGGAAGAAAAGATTTACTGATGCCATATGTTTTATTGAGTGCTAAATAAACATACTTTGATATTATGGTATCTTTAACAATTATCAGAGAAATACAATCATTTTAATTTCATCTAATTTAAAATCAGCCAAAATAACAAAGCCAAATTTGCCAGTCCCAACTTTGTCTCAACTAACACAATCATCATTCACCAATCATCATTCACTACTAGCTGTCTTTCAAAATATATATATAATTGATTTTTTTTTTGTCTATTCATTTCTTATATTTATTATCTAACCCTCTACTTCTTCATCATCATTTATTTTCACTTTAATTAATTTATTTATCAACACATTTATTTACCTGTTCCCGTCTTTTTGAGTCAGGTAAATTCTCTGTCCCAGAATTCAGCAAGGAACTGATGGCTTCAACCAGCTGTAGAACAGCTAAAAGCAAATATCACAGAGAAGGGTGAGACCAAAATTAATAACATGTAGATCTTTACATGACTGACAGCTTCAACCAGCTGTAGAACAACTAAAAGCAAATATCACAGAGAAGGGTGAGACCAAAATATTAATAACATGTAGATTTTTACATGACTGACAGCTTTAACCAGCTGTAGAACAGCTAAAAGTGAATAGCACAGGAAAGAATGTAATTAAAAATACAATTTAATACAAATCATAATAAAAGCAATAAATAATCAATAAAAAATGACAACCCAAGTGTTAAAGGTTTACAGTTATATAAATAGACAGCACCTGTCTGGTCGCCCTCCCTCACAGCAGTCCACAAGAAACCGTTCCTATCCCCTGTTATCTCCTCTAGAAAGGTACCAACATCACTGTCTACAAAATCAGGATTGTCACTTAATGGACGGACCTTAAACAGAAAATGTATATATGATATGATATGATATGATATGATACATAAAATAAATGGTGATACATAAAATAATATGATACATAAAAGAAAAGAGTGCTACATCCATACCTACTCAGTTCCATATTCCAGCCTTATTTACTCCACCCCCCCCCTCCACCTTTAGCAAATACTTGCTTTAAAAAAGTCCCAAAAGGCCAGTAGGTTTGGCAGAGAATGCAAATTTAATGTAAACATACCTGGACAGTGGAAGNCGTTTAAACCATGTCATAGATCTAGTACAACTATCGTTTATACTATTACTAGTGACAACACCGTCATCACATCAGACGATCAGTAGATTTAGTGATTCAACAGTTGGGCACAATTTTAAACGAGCGACAAGTCGACAACTCAAAACATGAAAATTTTCAAATGCAAGTTCAATGTCTTCATACGACATACACACAACCGATCTAGTAAAACAACCTATCTGAATTTATTCTTAATCCCTTTATCGATTTCTCTGACTCTATCGTCGTTTACACCGGCCTCAAGTAGCTTCATTTTCCAAAACGCAAAAGCGACACACGATACCACATGGAAAAAACCGCGCAGCGCTATATGAACAGGATACAGGCCGTTTTACGGTAATTGCATTCAATGACTGTATAAATGTCGTATAGATGTCGCAAAAGTTTCCCCCTTGATAACAGTGCGTCCCAGAATCGATATATATGTACGGTTGGTAACGTTTTTCGGCAAGGTCAAAATTGAAAACATGCGAGTGCCGATGAGTGAAGGGTCTCGCCGGGGAAGGGAAGGGTACCCCTACCCCCCCCCCCCTGAAATTTTCTCAACGGATTTGCAATGATATAAAAAATGACATTTTTGAAGGAAAAAAGTCGGAATTCCGCCAAAAGACGGAAAAATCTCATGCCTGCATACCATTGTCATTGACAACATGTACACACTCTAACCCCCACAGATAATATAAACATACCTGGACAGTGGAAGTCACCACAGTCCTTAAACCATTGTCATTGACAACATGTACACACCCCAGACAGCCTCAGTAATCTGGCCCACGTCTGGCCCAGATCTGGCAACGTCTGGCAATATCTGGGCCAGATTTTGCCAGACACTTACCAGATCTGGTCCAAGTCTGGCAAATTCTGGCATTTATGCCACATTTTGCCAGATGCTGCCCAGACTTGGGCCAGATATGGTACTTTCATTTTCAATTTTTATTTTCTATTTATTTATTTTTTATTGACCAGTGAGCTGAATGCATTAAACTGACATCATTTGATAAATTTTGATTTAATTTCTCTCTCTCTCTTTTTTTTTTCAAAGTCCCCTCATAAATGTGCTGTTTGTTTAATTTGACTTGACATTTGAATGAATTCACTTTCTAAAACTTTTTTGAACTACTCGTTCCGCTGTTGTAAAATTCCGCTTTTTATGATAAGCCGGTCAAGGACCCGGATGTAGCGTTTCTTAGAGTTATGGATATGAAAAAAAACACAAGCGTATCAAACTGATACAATTCGTTGAGTGATTTGATTCGTGATGCGATTTATTTCTAAGGCATCAACACTGGCGACGAGGATTAACACTAGTGCAAAACTGTGAGCCAACTTTCTTTGAGAAAATGGAGGAAAATATGAAATTACGAATTTCGAAACGTACAGAAGTCCGGAGACATTAGGGTCACACGCGATGGCTAGACAGTTTTAAACTCTTCGCTGACGGAAAAGGATTGATCGTTTCAGACCCAACGGACGGCATGAATAATGTACAAAGATAGAAAATTAAAAATACATGTCAGAGGAGACGCGCGCTTATGTTGTATTCAGCAGGGACAGGTGTACAGTTACTGTACAAGATATTTTCAGGACTCTCCCAAACACAGGTGAGAAACATGAATATACAGTTAACGCTTTAAATGAAATTGGAACACCAGAAACTGTGAGTATGATGAAACCGAAGTCATTTGACAAACCAAGCCAGTCTTAACATTACGAGTTTAAACATGAAAAACGAAGTAGAAACTCCCCGACTGAGAAAACATGGAACGTTGGATCACTTTGCAAAAGTCTGCAAAACTGAAACTATTATTCATGTAAATGACAGCTTTGAACATGATAATCCAGGAGTGCATATACATTTGGTGTGGGAACCAATGCAATATACACAGAAGACATGGTGGAAATAGAGGAGGCGTTAATCTCAGTGTATTACCAGATTCAGGTGCATATTGTAATATCATTGATGAAAATACATGGAGAATGCTGAAATCCAAGAAAAATAAATGTGGCTCTTGTGGAGGCCCAGAAAACAAACAGTATTATTCATACATGTCTGAGAAACCTTTAAAAGTGAAGGGAACATTTGAATGTGACGTAAAGGCAAGCAAAGGAAGAGACCAGTAGTAGTGAAAGGACATGGGATTTGATATGAGTTGATTAGTTTTGAGAATTTTCAGTGTGGTTTAAAGAATAATAGTTGGAGTTCATATGCTATTCTGCAAATGCTTGAAAAGACATTTTAAAGACTGAACTGTCAATTAGCATATTTTGAAAGGACCGTTTCTCTCCATGAAAGGAAGGGATGTTGTGTTTTGACTTGACATTTGAATGAACTGTTGTTAACTTGGTAGAGTTACTTGTTCCATTGTTAATTCCTTTAATAATTATAAGCTTGTCAAGGAGCCGGATGTATCATTTCTTAGTGTTATGGATATACAAAAAAGCGCAAGCGTAGCAAACTGGTTCAATTCATTGAGTGATTTGATTCGTGATGTGATTTAATTCAAAAGCATTGATACTGGGGTTTGTTTTTGTGTACATGTAATTCTCTTTTAACTGTACATCTATATCTGTGCTGGGGTATACATAATTCTTTTTTCAGAGTTTACATGTATGTACTGTAGCCAGCATGCAAGTTGATTTGAAACAGTTACTGCATGGTTATTTATAATTTTGTTATAACTCTCCGTCATCTAAAAAACAATGTTTTTTCATTCATTATTCAAGATTTATTCATTACAGAACTATATTCATTAGTGATTATGATTATTAATGATATGTTTGAATTAGTTTAAAAATGACAATGTATAACATTATTTAGGTTAAGGTGTGCAAAAATATTTCTCCCCTCACCCCCCCCCCCCCCCCCCCCCATGTACATACATAATTAATTACAATTTTTGTATTTTTGTGTTAATTCAGATTCGATGAGCAGCTTTGTGTTGAAAAAAAATTTTTGTTGTTATTACTTTTTTCTTAACATGTATGTAAGTGACATTTCCTCCTGTTAAGTGTCTGTATATTTGCCTTTTTGCGAGAAGTTTTTTTTTTTTTTTCAAACATACATTGTTTTGTACAAAAAAACAAGGAGTGGCCCTTAATTTGTTACATGTAAGTTGCCAGCAAGATGATATAATGTGTTATAATTTTGTTTAGGTTTGTAGCACAGAATAAATACTTGAATCTTGAATCTTGTATGTCTTTTTTTATAGTAATCTTATTGAATAATATAAAATAATTATTAAAAAAAAAAAACAAAAAAACAATCTGGGCCATATGTGGTCCATGTCCGGCCCTAATCTGGCCCCTTTGAATTTGATCTGGCCCACATCTGGTCCACATCCGGCATGCCATACCTTTGCCAGATATTGCCAGATCTGGAACCATCTGGCAACATGAGCAAATGTGGACTGGGCCAGATGTGGCAAGCCATACGTGGGCCATACCTTTTGCCAGACATTGCCAGACGTTGCCAGATCTGGGCCAGACATGGGCCAGATCACTGAGGCTGTCTGGGACTCTAACCCCAACAGATAATGTAAACATTACCTGGACAGTGGAAGTCACCCCAGTCCTCATACCATTGTCATTGACAACATGTACACACTCTAACCCCCACAGATAATGTTAACATACCTGGACAGTGGAAGTCACCACAGTCTTCATACCATCTTCATTGACAACATGCACACGGACCTCCCCCTGACTGTTCTCACTGGCTGGGGACACAGACAGAGCAGAGATGTGGATATAACCACCAGAACTGCTGCCTAACAGGACACCTGAGGAAAATATGAACATTTTTACACAAATATTGGTGGATACCAACAGATCACCCCTTACTGTTGGAATATTACTATGAGCTTCAGGTGTAATACATGAAAGCTTCTTCATCTCCATATGTGCATACATATCAGACTCAGAAATTCAGCTAAGGTTTGGTTGAGATTTCAAAAGACCATGTTATGCAATTCCTATGATTATATGACATAGACTTGCCTAACAATTTTAACTGTTGCCATTTCGAGTTCTGTTTTGTCATTTAAAGCTGCAGTATTCTGTTATCTAAATTTGTTTTAAACTATTCATCAACAAACTGCAGATCAGTTACCTGATTGATTCTTGGTAGCAGGATCTCCGTCCCAAAAATGGTAGTTGTAGTGGAGTTGACTGGTGCTGTCAATGAACCCAGAGCAATTCACTGAGAAATTGGTGACAATCTCAAAGCCAGTGGAAGGAGAAACTGTGCATATTCCTGGACTAGGGCTGGTCCCCATTTGTATGACACATGATGTAGACAGCACTGTACCAGCAGACTGACTTGTACCTACAGACACACATGACATGATGTAGACAACACTGTACCAGCAGACTGACTTGTACCTACAGACACACATGACATGATGTAGACTGCACTGAAGAGACTGACATTACACTGCAGAAAGTGTAAGATAGTCTTAAATATATGGGTATGTCCAAAGGGCAAATCTTAAATCTTCAAATTAGCAAAATTCATTCATCTGTTGTCAGAATACTTACCATGTGTTGTGACCTGGTAGAGCTCCCCAGGTATAAGAACACCTGGTTTAATACTCAGTCCTCTCTCTGTTCTCTCAGTGGTGGTGTCCTGGCTCCAGTCCAGTCCCTGTACTGTGGTGTTCACTGGGTTGAGGTCCCATAGGTAGTCCATGGAGTCACAGTGATAACACACAGCCTCTAGGGACACCTTGGCTCCAGGGTCAGACAGCTTACACTGACCAGTACACCTAGAGAAACAACTGGACAATTAAGTATGGACACCTTGGCTCCAGGGTCAGACAGCTTACACTGACCAGTACACCTAGAGAAACAACTGGACAATTAAGTATGGACACCTTGGCTCCAGGGATAGACAGCTAACACTGACCAGTATACCTAGAGACCATTCCCAGTCTCTATCATCCTAACTGTGGATTGATCTATCTACAAGGAGATTTTTGCTAAACTGCAATCAAGTTAAGCGGCACAGATATCTGTTAGGCCTACTTACACTGCTAGCAGGTAATTAATTATCATTAACAGCCTCACTGGGGGAGCCAGGCATCAAAGCCTCTTCCGCTGAAAGCAATTTAGCAAGAAACCCCTTGGAGATGGATCGATCCTGGTAGATTGATCTAAGTGTGGGAACCCAGTCCAAGAGAAACAACTGGAAAATTAAGTTTGGAGAAGTATTTGGCTTCAGGGTCAGACTTTATACGCCAATCTTACATGTCAACTCATAATTTGTGGACAGTGGGAAATATATGATAATTAAATTTTCAGTGGTTAAATCCTTTTCCTCAGGAAGAATCACCTCTGTGTTATGTAGAGCGCTGAGTGTTCAACTGTGCCAACTTTGTCTTCCACACTGTGAGGGCAGACACAGTAGGAGTGTAGATCTCTCACTATACACAGCCCTAGGCAGTTCATTGTGCTGCAATCTGAAATAACCATTGACATATGTGCTTGGATATGAAACAGAAATTAATTATTAACTGATTTATTTGAAAACTAGAGAAAAAATAGTAGGGAGACAGTATCTTAAAATACAAATTATTATTATTATTATTAAAATAACATGAGTTCATATTCAGATATTAACAGCTGACACTTTGATATATTAAAATAGTACCATTATCTATAAATCTATGGCTGAAGGTAATATGTGATATTTTTGTTCAAAAATATGTTCAATATTTCTAAATACGTGGGCAAATTTGATCCAAGCAGGTCGCTGTCTGGGTTGAGTTGGTGGCGCCACCTGTACACAGGGCCTGTTCACTGGGCACATTTGGGTCATGACAGGTACGGTTTCTGGATGTGGTTCCTGTCCCACACAGCGCAGAACAATCACCCCAGGCTCCCCAGGCCAACCAGCTCCCTCCATCTGGATATATATATATATATATATATATATATATATATATATATATATATATATAAACTAAATAACTTCAAATATATAAATTAATTAAAGCTTAAGCCTAATTAATTAAAATATGTATTTACAGAAATAAATATAGATATATATGTCAGACCTTATAAACAGAAGAGACTTTTGCAAACTTGAACTGAAGATTTGTAAGCATGAACGGTCAAATTTATGACTCAAGACATCAATTAAGAACCTGAATGTAAAATTTTTGTGGCCACAAGCATACCACTATCTGGTCCATGAACCATAAATCTGCTCATCTAAAAATTTGTTATGTTCTCTATATGAACTGGAGATTGTCCAGCGTAAAATTCTGACATATACCTGGTATGCACAGTGGATTAATTACATGTGTATGAATACATTAGGCCCCACTTTTTATTTTTATGGATGACATCCTGCGCGCACACCAATTTTTGTCTGTTCTCCGAAAAAAAAAACAAAAAAAAAACCTTACCCCCAAAAGACAGTTGTCGCAAACGTCCTTATTGAATTTTGCAGGAAAATGAGCTTTCTGCACATGCGTATTATCGCCACGTGGAAATTGGTGGCTTTGCCATCAAATTCATCTCTAGGATTACTGTCAAGTTACACAACAATTAAAGTCATAAAGAGGCGTGAGGCCGTCGTTTTGGATTGGCATGCCATTGTTATTGGGCATGGAGATATCACCTTTCTATAATTATAAGAAAGGCTGGTGGCTGTGAAAATTTCAGTGACATTCTGTCCAAAGCAGCACCTTTTATGTAGTGAAAACAGGGTCCACAAGGGTGTGGAGGTATTTGGTGGGCTGAAGGTCGGACAGGCCACCCGACACTTTGGCTACTTGGTGCGAGTCAAAGTAGACAAAACGGCGTTGACCGAAATTACCTTTAATTTGATAGTATTAATAGATTTGGTAGTATTAAGCATATCTTTGCATGATTTTTTACATTTCTGTGAAGTGTTCATAATGCCTTAATATTCTGAGAGCACAAAGAAAGACCCACTGTTTGTTTATTAGTTTTATTTATTGGTATATATATATATATATATATATATATATATATATATATATATATATCAACAAAATGCATAAAATACCCTTAATATAGATTTGGTAATATGTAGCATATCTATTCATGACTTTTTTTACCTTTCTTCGCAGTATTGACAATGCTTTAATATTTTGAGAGCATGGATAAAGACATAGTGTTAGTTTGATACGTGTTTCTGTGGTAAATTTGTTTCCAGCTGTGTACTAACAGAATTCCTTTACTTAAGCAGTATTTTTTTTGACTGCTTTTTTTGCCCAACCTCTCACACCAATTTCAGGGTCTCGAGAGGATGTCATCCATAAAAATAAAAAAGTGTGGCCTTAATATCGTTTGATAAAAACCTTTTGAGACTGTTTTGAGGTTTAATTGGGACTAAGTGACCAAAACAAGTATGATCACACTCCTCATATTCTGTCATTAAAGAACTATTGGGGCTTGATGAAGTTGCCAAGAATCCTTTCTCTTTTGCCAAACACAGACTGAGGAGAAAATGATACTCTTGTAGGACTAGGAATCTTGAGAGCTTTAATTGATTGTATCATTGAAAATTAGTCCTGGGTTGAGAAAAACAACCGGTATTGACAGAAGGGTCCACATGAAAGCTGGCCAAGTGGTTTGTGCACTCTAATGTTAATGAAGGGAGGAGGTCTTGTTCATGGCATCTGTTGCATTGTTAATAAACAAATGACAAATAAATAATTTCTAAGATATTCCAGCTTAAGCAGATATAGAAAAGGTTGCTGAAAAGTGAAATATTTTAAGGTAAAATTTTTGATAATTATAATATTTTGTAAACTTTGTGATTCGAATAAAGTAGAAGATGAGTTCCACCTCCTGCTAGAGTGCAAAGCATATGATTCAATACATGATCCCTTCAGAGGGCAGCTGTCAGAGTTCCTACCCCTAGGTGACCTCAGCAATAATAAACTGTTTAATCTTCTTATGGGTGCTCAAGACATAGACATTCTTAGAATGGTTATGTGTTTTGTAAATAGATGCTTACAACAAAGAGAACAGGTCCTCTCTTAATAGATTGTACTCTTTCCAGTGTATCTATTTAAATTCATCACCTATAGATTATCATTATACATTTCATATATATCTCTTTATAAATTAACTTATTGGTATTATTCTACATGTAAACATTGAAATCATGTATATTTATTCATTTACTTGTTTGTACTGTTATAGTTAGAAGTACTGTCTTTGATTGTACCTTATTTGTGAAGGTGTATCAATAAAGAATCTATAATAAATCTTGCAAGCTTTAATATTGGCACTCATTAATTGTTTAAATTTTAGGAGTTGTCCACCATATTCTTACATCCACAGACAGGCGGTGAGCCACTCCAGGTTCTGTTGATTAGACAGATCCTGGTCGTGTCCCCAGAGACCACTTTGTACCCAGGCAGGCAGGTGTAGGTGATATTGGTTCCTGTCATATTCCCGTCCCGTTCTTCAACAACATTTGGAATAAATGGGAATTCACACTCTGAAACAAATATATGATAGAGTCAAGTATTTTGTTGTAGGCAAAGTTCCTGTGGAAGTGATCTCCTCATGCACTTGAATAATGACCATTGTGACAGGCTCAATTTATGGTTATATTTGGGGGTCTGGTAGAGTTGCCTTCCAGCTTTTCTCATTTGTAAATGGAAATAGGATGAAAAATTATATCAACAGGTCTTTTAGCTCCCACTCAAAATTCAATCCTTACTGGTTCATTGTCAATTATAAAAGAGCAGTGCTGGGAGGAGAGAAACATCAACACAACTGCAAATGCCTATATAGTTCCAAAGTAACCGGTTCATGCATCTTCCAAATCATTCAGATTTAATGCACTTTCTCAACACTTAAAATATCTGAAATAAACCCCTTAATAAGCGTTTTATGTCTTACTCATGCAAGCAAATAAATTAAGCTAAAACCAATAACTTGTCAAAGCTCAAATGTTCTTTTAAATCCATGCATTTCACTCCCACACCCACTGTTTGTTCAATCAATAACTGCAGGGAAATGTCACTCAAAAACACTGTCAAATTAGACTCTTTGCCAAGCAAGCAGAACAACAGGAGGGGTCAAAAGACTGACAGGAGCCTTGAACAGGGCACCATCAGACAGCAATGTGCCACATTTATGTTACCTGGACATTGCTGACTGTTACATGTTACCTG